AAAATGCAGGCATCAAAAGCAAAAATAGACAAATGGAGTTGCATCAAATCAAAAGTTTCTGTACAGAAAAGGAAACAATGAACAGAGTGAAGAGACAAAACATGAACTGGAAGAAAATATCTGCAAACCATACAGCTGACAAGGGGCGAATATTCAAAATATATAAGGTACACAAACAACTCAAAAGCAAGAAAACAAATAACCTAATTTTAAAATGAGCAAGTGATCTGAACAGACATTGCTCAAAGGAAGACATATGAAAGGCCAATAGATATATTAAAAATACTCAATATCTCTGATCATCAGAGAAATGCAAATTTAAACTACAATATGATATCATTTCACGCCTGTTACAAGAGCTATTATCAAAAAGAAGAATGATAAGCGCTGGCAAGGATATGGAGAAAAGGGAACCCCTGTACACTATTTGTGGGAATATAAATTAGTACAGCCATTTTAGAAAGTAGTATGGAGGTTCCCAATAAAACTAAAAATAGAATTACCATATGGTACAGCAATACTACTTCTGGGTGTATCTCCAAAGGATTTGAAATTGGTGTATCAAAGAGATATCTGCATCCCCATGTTTACTGTTGTGCTATTATAATATCCAAGATATGAAAGCAACTTAAGTGTCTATCAGCAGATCAATGGATAAAGAAATGTGTACACAGTGGAATGCTACACAGCCTTAAAAAAGAAGAAAATTCTGTCATTTGTGATAATATGGATAAAACTGGAAGACATCATGCAAAATGAAATAAGTCAGACACAGAAAGACAAATACTGCATTATCTCACTTATGTGTGAAATCTTAAAAAGTTGATCTCATAGAAACAGAGAAGGTGGGTACCAGAGGCTGGGTGAATGGGAAGAAAAGAGGTGAGAAAAAGAAAGATATTGTTCAAAGAGGTATGAAGTTTCACTTAGAATGCAGAAATAAGTTCTAGTAATCTAGTCCACTGCATGGTGATCACAGTTAATAATAATGTATATTTCCAAGTTGCTAAAATACATTTTTAATGTTCTCACTACAAAAAAAATGATAAATTGGTGAGGAAATAGATATGTTAATTATATTGATCAACTCTATAATATATACGTAGATTATAAGATAACATTGTATCTAATGAATATACACAATTATTTGTCAATTAAATTTTTTATGAAAAAATAAAATTAAAAATTAAAAATAAAATTAAAAAGGCTGTGGATAAAATAATTGCAAGGTGCATTTCACGTGCATAGTTTTGGTTGATTCAAAGTACAGAATTAGCAAGGACAACGTTTTGGGGAGATTATGGCATATTTCCCAACAGTACCATCAATCATTAGTAAGGGATTCAAATTTAATGAATGGAATTCATGGCTTAAAGAGGGCAGTTATATAAAATGGATGAATAGGAGATATGAGGTTAATGATGTCACATATATCACTCTCTGCCTTCCTTAACCCTAATCCTCTGCAGACCCTACAGGCTTTTAAACTCAAAGACTCATACATTATTAGAGCTCTTACCACTTGCCCTTTGTGGAAATAATCTTGCAGCCTTATGCCTGACACTTAGTGTGTCAGGGCTAGATGGTTCATTCACCTTAAGAGTATTAAAATGATTGCATTTCCTATGACTATGTGATTGACTTAACTACATACAGTGAGGCCTAGGAGTTATAATATAATATATTCAGAGTTTCCACAGCAAATGCCTCAAGACCCTGCAGTATTTTTAACTAAACTAATTCAACAGATGTTTACTACTGCCTAACATGGACTCATCACTATTAGTGGTGAGTTCTAAGTAGTAAGAGCTCTAATTATGTATGAGTCTAATTATGTATGTATTGCCTTTAAAATACTCATTATTATTACTAGATAGTAAGATACAGTGGTAAATAAGACTAAATCTCAGTATTATCTGTAATTTAAAGTCAAATGGGAGTAACAGACAATAAATGAGTAAAGAAACATAATATGATACCAGGAAATGATATATGAAGAAAGAATACTAGGAATGGAGGAGGGTGGATGGGTAGATAATTACTTTACATAGAGTGGTCAGAGGAGCCCCCCAACCCGCCCTCCATTAAGGAGGGAACATCTGAGCAGAGTCCTAAATGGTGTGAATGAATGAACCCTGAGAAGATCTGTGGGGGAGAGCATTCCCCTGACGGAGAAAAATATTAGAAAGACCTTGAGGCTGGAATAAGTTTGCTTTGTTCAAGGAATAGTAAGAAGACTAATGTGGTTGAAGCAGAGTGAACAAAGGGAAACATGCTAACACATGAGGCCAGAAATATTAAGTGGGGGCATTGTAGATGATGGTGAGAAGTTTGGACTTTATTCCAGGCATGAAAACATGCCATTGAAGAATACTGATCAGAGGAGTGACATGATTTAGATTACATCTTTACAAGATCGGTCTTGCTGCTATTAGAAGAACAAACTAGACAGAGGCAAAATTGGAAGCAGGAAAATTCAGCTTTTATAGCAGACAGGAGAGATGAAAGTAGCTTGGTCTAAGTCAAGGTGATAGCAATGACAGTGGTGGATTTCAGATATATTTTGAATACAGAATTAACAAGACTTGATGGTGGACTGGATATAAGAGATGAGAGAAACCACAATATCAAGGTTGACTCCTATGGTATTGGTCTTAATAGTTTAGAGGTGCCATTTATAAGAATATAAACTCCACAAGAACATTTATTTTTGTATTTTTTGAATATAAGCTCCACAGGAACATTTATTTTTGTCTTTTATGTTCAACAACACATTTCATTGACCTAGAAATAATGCCTGGAATGTTTATATGCTGAAAAGATTAAATGAATAGGGAACATTAAGAGGAGGGAATCTAAGTTAGTGGAGGTGAAAATTAAGAATTCAGTCTTCATCATGTTAAGTTTGACATTTCTATAAGATATCTAAGTGAAGTAAGTTTTTACATATACACTCCGGGAGTTCATGGAAGAGCCCCAAGATGTGGGAGTTATTCATTTACAAATTATATTTAAAGTTACAGGGCTGAATGAATAACCTAGAAAGGTTAGAGAAAAAATAAAATACAAGGACTGGGTGTGAGACAATCTTACATTTAGAAATTGGAAGAGGAGACCTCCCCAGCAAAGAGTAGCCAATGAAGAAGGAAGAAAACTAGGCGAATGTAATATTACAAAAGGCCAGTGAAAAATATCAGTTTCAAGACAAAAAAGGTAGAATTATTTTTTCAAATGTGGCTAAGTAGTCACAGAGATGAGGACTGAGAACTGATAACCACATCTGGTAATATAGAAGTCACTGGAGACTCAGTTGTGGGTTCATAGGAATGTGTTTCAGGGTTAAGATGACAAGGGTATGGCTGTAAGATCTGTTAAGACCTCAAAAAGATTTAAGGTGGTGACTCATAGGCCTACTCAGCTAGGCAAAAATTATTTTAAGAATCTTAAGTAGCAACTTAGGCCTTCTTTGCCAGACAAGGGCACTTCTAAATTTCTTAAGGACATTTTTGCCACAGCACCCTGACTCTCAGCCCAAGGAAATAGGGGCCTGACTTGAAGATATTTAGAAGTGTAACATTTGACTAATTTAGATCTTAGTTTGATACACAGGAAGCCCACAAAATCTTTAAGAGAATAATAGCATCTTGGACTGAAAGGAACAGGGGTAGTTTAGAAAGAAAAGATACATATGAGAAATTTCAGTCTTCAATGAAAGCAAAAATGAAAAGACACATTTGAACTTTCAACTTCCCACACGCAGAACATGGGCTGCAACTACAAACAAAAGTATTTCTTATGGAAAAAGGATTATTCAAAGGGTAAGGCTAAAACGTGAGGGCAAGGCCAAGAACTTCAGAATTACTATGGTCAACTGACTGATGTATGCCTCATGTTTTCTCTCCCTCTACCTTTATAACGGAAGTGTCTGTTCCAATTTTCCTGTTGTTGGCTTATCATTGTATGTAGGGGACAGATAACTGGTCTCTTCAATTCATAGATTTTAAGTTTGAGAGGAGTCATACCTAAGGAGCCTCACCCACATGAACCTTAGTTAGATAATAAAATTTTGTAGTTCAAGCCTGAGCTTGATACAGTAATAGCATGACATTGAGGATCTTGGGAGTGAAGTGAGTATATTTTGCATGTAGGAGGAATATGACTTACTTGGAACTTAGTTAATCTCCAAATATGGTCCCTGATGTACAACTCCTCCCAAGATTCATGCCCTTCTGTAGTCCCCTCCCATACTGAATCAGGACTGAGCATAGGACTTGCTGTAATCAGGGATTGCATTGGGAGTTATACCTGATGTAAATGACGAGTTGATGGGTGCTGACGAGTTGATGGGTGCAGCACAGCAACATGACACAAGTATACATATGTAACAAACCTGCACGTTATGCACATGTACCCTAGAACTTAAAGTATAATAATAATAAAAAATAAATAAATAAATAAAATAAAAATAAAATAAAATAAAGAAAGAAAGAAAGAAAGAAAGAAGGTAGTGAGGGTGACCCTGTGCTCATCCCAAGCCTATGTCTTAAGAGGACCTGAAGTTTCTGTTTTTGCATTTTGGAAGCCTTGAGCTGCCACATAAAAAGCTCAGCAGCCTTGTTAGACAGATTATATAGAAAGACCACAACAAGAAGCCCCATGGAGAGAGAGAAGGATAATTCCCAAGATTACATGGAAAGAAAGATCTATATATTATCTATCTAACTATCTAATCTGAGGTGTGTGTATATATATACACACACACACATATACACACACATATATATGTGAGACAGAAAGAAGGAAACAGACACATCAAACCAGATGTTCTTGCATCCCAGCTGAGCCCAGCCTTAACAGCTATTCAAGGTGTCAGACATGTAAGTGAGTGATCATGAGTGTTCCAGATCAATCAAGCTCCTAGATAACTGTAAGTCCATCTAACATCCAACATTAAGTGGAGCAGAAGGACTGCCCAACAAGCAAGTCAACCCCCCAGTATCTTGAGAGATAATAAAATGTTTTTTTTCAATCCACTTGGTTTTGGAGTGGTTTGTTATACAGCAATAAATAACTTACTTATCAAGTGAAAATTGAATATTTTGGAAGTCAGATTGAATGTAATACATAAAAGGTAAACTACAAACTATGTGCCTATACAAGTGGTTAATACCTTGAAAATCAAAAGAGCTCATTATAAAACCTAAACAAAAGCCCCAAGTCTTCAAAAGAAAAAAATGGACAAAGGACATGATCTGTCTACTCATAGCAGGGAAAACCAAAATGACTAATGAGCAAGAAAAAGTGTTAATCATTATTTAAAAGACCATTAATACTCAAATACTGTTGGTAAGAATGTAAAGTGGTACAGTCTTTCTGGAGAGCAATTTGTTAGCACGCCATTTCTGTAAATACATTAGGAGATAATCACAGATACACAGATCCAAATAAATAAGAAAAAGAATGTTAATTTCAAACTTAATGTCCAGCAATATGAAAACTGTTTAAAAACTTATGAATATTAATATTTGAGGACATTCTACATCTTGCAAATTTTTAATAAAATTCAGGTGGCATGCATGTAAAGTCAAAAAATAAAAATTATATGTCTATTTTGATTCAAGCTTTTAAAATTCATAAAAGATATATGTATATATGCATAAGAAAGACTAAAAATAAAATTGTTAAATGTAGCAGTAGAATTATAACTGCTTTTATTTTCTCTTTTACATTTCTCTCCATTTTCTAAATTTTCTGTGACTGTGCATTGCTTTCAGAACATTTAGAAAAAACAAGAATGTTATTTTTAAGTTGTATTAATTAAGCTATTGACATAGGTAACTGAGAATAATTCCCAGTTAAAATTATACCTTTTGAAATTTGGGAAAGAATTTAGAAATGACCTAGTCTGATCTACCATTCAAATAATGAGAGAAATAGATCTAGAGACTTAAGATGCCCAAGCTAGTATTTAGAAGCATAATCTTACTTAGAACTCAAATTCTTTATCTTCTGACCTATGTATCTTTTTATATCATTTGTTGAACTACCTGTAATAGTGATTCCAATAAGATATAAAGATGTAAGTAGAATGTTGTCATTTTGAGAAAGTCTAGAATTTGATGTACCTTTAAATTCACACTCTTATTCTCATTTTAAACTATAAAATTATTTGTAATAAGGAGAACATATGCTATTTCCTATAATATAATAGTTGTATTAAGAATTTCCACTGAAATAACTTCCCAGGCTTTTAAATTTCCTTTGAATTTACATTTTGTTATTGTTGTTACACTTTCAGCTGAATTACCAACCCATGAGATTAATTTGTATTACTGGCATCTCAAATCACTTTGCTTTTCTTGAAAGTTTTTTATCCATATTTCTTGATTGACATAAGTAAAGTAGGAATATTTAATATACTTAGACACATTTCCACTTGGAGACATTTGAAGGCATTTTCAGTTTATTTGTATTTAATTTTTTTAAATAGATTATTTTGTGTCCCTAGTCTTACACTTCTAATATAAGGGCAGACACCTTGAGCTCAAGGCCTTCTTTTGGGTCTTGGCTTTGAAAGCTACCTTTTAATTTTTAATCTGGTGGAAACTAAGCCTGTGTTCTTCCTTTCAGCTAAGTTAAGACTGTTGTTTTGCCAGCTAATTTCTGTTGGAGATGAAACTAAGTTCCTTCTCTTTGGATTTATACAGATACTCCTGAAATTTACCTCTGATAGAGATGAGTCTGTTTTTAAAATGCTTGGATAGTTATCTTTTAATTTTACTTCTGATGGAAAAAACACATTTTTCATTTTTCTGTCTGGCATGCTTTCTGATTGATGTTCACCTAAAGGTGGTACTCTGCCTGCTTTTATTATTTCCTGGTTAGAAATAGTGCACAATGAGTGTACTTCTGTGGGTGAAGGTGTTGATTCATCACTTTTAGAAGTATCAGCAGTTGAATTATCTTGGTCCAATTGGTTCAAAGTTGGTACAGTCAGGCCTTTCTCAGAATCATTATCCAGTAACTAGAAAATACAGCAATAAAACAAACTACCAATTAATCATTATTGACTGGAAAAGTTTACAAATTAAGAAAATGACTCAAAATCAATTGTACTCTTATCCTTTATCATAACAAATTACCATTATTATTTATAAATTTTAAATTCCTTAATAAACATGTGAAATTCTTTACTTGCCTGAAACCATGGACTGTAGAATACTATCCATAAATATGATAAAGCAGTGGTTCTCATATATCCAAATCTATAAATCAGCAACATCTCAAAATAAAAAATCTGAGGGTCTGACATTCTACTATTATTATACTGCCACCAATATATCATGAAACAAAGGAAATTTTAATAGCAAAACGCACAAGGAATGATATCATAAATCACAACTATATAAGAAAATAAAGAGAATATTAATAGCACCACAATACAAAGAACAATATTGTAAAATAAAGGATGGCCTGTTAAACTAAATAAATTTAGCTTTATGAAAAATTCTCTATATTATCTTCTTTTACTCTCCTTGAACTGGGGAAAATTGCAATACATAATGACTCTTCAATTGGCATTTGGGAGCCACTGACCCAGAAATGGAAATCATTAAATCCTATTTGTCAAGCAGTAAGTGAACATTTTACTCTTCATTGGTTTACATGGGGATTCACTGCTTTATGGAATGAATACCTTACGTAAATTTAGCTGAAAAGCAAGTTATATTATGTAAACTCTATGTTTTGTTTATTTCTATTATAAACTATAGAATACTATTTTCTGTGCAAAGTTTACAATATGATAAAAGATTTTGGTGAGAAAGAGTAAAAACTGCAGTTAGGTCTATGGCATTTATTTCTAAGATCTTATATAGAACTTCATGCTTTTTTCTTCTTTCTCCTTCATCTCTTCCTCAACACATTTTGTCCCCATCTTCATATTTTTAAATGTTACTATTTTATGCAGAAGGCTCTTTCAAGAGTGTAACTATACAGATATTGCCATAATAGAAACCGTAAAACAACTGAGTAACTTCTCAGATGCCTTTCTCTACCTAAAATATTTCTCCATTTATAAATATTTTATCCCTTTATAAAATAATGACTATTAAAAGGTCTCTTCCAATTTCCCTTACCTCATTTGGAGTGGTTTCAGCTTCCTCATTTACAAGAGGGATATCTGCTTAAAAATTAAAGGGGGTATTTTATTTTACGTAAAAACAATAAACATATGTATGCACATTGATAAAATACTATTACATTTTTTTCTCACTAAGAACAAAGAGCAACTTAAATCAAAGCAGCTATCCAAACATAAACACTACTTACTATAAACAAGCTGATGAATCTCTGGGAAGATGGGGGAGTGGTAAATGATAACATTTCAGATGCGTAAATACAAGACACAAACACAGGTACATGCTATATATATATATATATATATATATATATATTTTTTTTTTTTTTTTTTTTTTTTTTTTTTTTTTGAGACGGAGTCTCGCTCTGCCGCCCGGGCTGGAGTGCAGTGGCCGGATCTCAGCTCACTGCAAGCTCCGCCTCCCGGGTCCCGCCATTCTCCTGCCTCAGCCTCCCGAGTAGCTGGGACTACAGGCGCCGCCACCTCGCCCAGCTAGTTTTTTGTATTTTTAGTAGAGACGGGGTTTCACCGTGTTAGCCAGGATGGTCTCGATCTCCTGACCTCGTGATCCGCCCGTCTCGGCCTCCCAAAGTGCTGGGATTACAGGCTTGAGCCACCGCGCCCGGCCAGCTATATTTTTTTTTAAGTTGAGAGGAAATAAATTCCAGATGATAAGTGATGGGACCAGAATCGGAAGAAGAGACTAGAATAAGGGTGTATGAAATTAGGCAAAATAGGACCATTCAAAGAAGTCTGGTTGAAATACTTGTAAAATTTTCCTAGAAATATAAGGAATACATATTTAGCATGTAAAAAGGGAAAACCTAAAAGGGACAAAAAGAAAATAAATAACTGAGGCAGAATTCTAGCAAAAAAATTTGCTATGGTCACGACTACATGACTTTGTTCAGCTCTTTTTTTTTTCTTTTCTTTTAATTGTGGTAAGAACAATTCACATGAGACCTATCCTCTTAACAAATTTTCTAGTGTAAAGCACAATAATGTTAACTATCAGCACAATGTTGTAAAGCAGATCTCTAGAACTTCATCATCTTGCAAAACTTAAACTTTATATTTGTTGAAAAGCAATTCCCTGTTTGCCCCTCCCCCTAGCCTCAGGCAACCAGCATTCTACTCTGACTATTTCATATACCTCACATACGTGGCATCATGCAATATTTGTCTTTCTGTGACTGGCTTATTTCACTTAGTATAATGTCCTCAAGGTCCATCCACGTTGTCACATATGGCAGGATTTCCTTCTTTTTAAATGCTGAATGATATCCCATTGTATGTACACAGGCATATCTCTTTTTATTGCACTTCTCAGATACTGTGTTTTGTACAAATTGAAGGTCTGCGGCAACCTTGCATTGAGCAAGACTATCGGTGCCATGTTTCCAAAAGTATGTGTTCACTTTGTGTCTCTGCATCACATTTTGGTAATCCTCAAAATATTTCAAACTTTTTCATTATTATAATATCTTTTATGGTACTCTATGACCAGTGATCTTTGATGTTACTATTGTAATTGTTGAGGGGCACCACAAACCACACCCATCTAAGATAGCAAACTTTTAAAAAAAATTTAACTTTTAAATTCAATTGTACATGTGCAGGTTTGTTACATAGGTAAACTTTTGTCATGGGGGTTTGTTGTACAGATTATTTCATCACCAGGTATTAAGCCTAGTATCCATTAGTTATTTTTCCTGATCCTCTGCCTCCTCCTACCCTCCACTCTCTGATAGGCCCCAGTGTGTGTTGTTCCCCTCTATGTGTCCATGTGCTCTCATCATTTAGCTCCTACTTATAAGTGAGACCATGTGGTATTTAGTTTTCTGTGCATTTGTTTGCTAAGGATAATGGTCTCCAGTTCCATCTATGCTCCTGGAAAGGACATGATCTCATTCTTTTTATGGCTGCATAGTATTCTATGGTGTATATGTACTACATTTTCTTTATCCAGTCTACCATTGATGGGCATTTAGCTTGATTCCATATCTTTGCTATTGTGAATGGTACTGCAATGAACATACCCGGGCATGTGTCCTTATAAAAGAATGATTTCGATTCCTTTGGGTATATACCCAGTAATGAGATTGCTGGGTCAAATGGCATTTCTGTCTTTAGGTCTTTGAGGAATCACCACACTGTCTTCCACAGTAGTTGAACTAATTTACACTCCCATCAACAGTGTATAAGCATTCCTTTTTCTCTGCAACCTTGCTGGCATCTGTTATTTTTTGACTTTTTAATAATAGCTATTCTGACTGGTGTGAGATGGTATCTCATTATGGTTTTGATTAGCATTTCTCTAATGATCAGTGATGTTGAGCATTTTTTCATATACCTGTTGGCCACATGTGTGTCTTCTTTTGAAAAGTGTCTGTTCATGTCCTTTGCCCACTGTTTAACGAGGTTTTTTTTGTTTTTTTTTTTTTTTGTAAATTTGTTTAAGTTCCTTATAAATGCTGGATATTAGACTTTTGTAAGATGGCAAACTTAATTTATAAATGTTGTGTGTGTTCTAACTATGCCACTGACCGGCTGTTCCCCCATCTTTCTTCCACTCCTTGGCCTCTCTATTCCCTGAGACACAACAATATTGAAAGTAGGCCATTAATAACCCCAAAATGAATCTGAGTGTTCAAGTGAAAGAAGATTTGCACATCCCTCACTTTAAATCAAAAGCTAGAAATGATTAAGCTTACTGAGGAAGGCATGTTGAAAGCTGAGACAGGCCAAAAGCTAGGCCTCTTGCACTAAACAGCCCAGCTGTGAATGCAAAGGAAAAAATTCTTGAAGGAAACTAGAAGTGCTATTCCATACACAAATAAGAAAGCAAAACAGCTTATTGCAGATATGGAGAAAATTTTAATGGTCCGGACAGAAGATTAAACCAGCCACAAACAGTCCCTTAAGCCAAAGCCTAATCCAAAGAAAGCCCCTAACTCTCTTCAATCCAATGCAAGCTGAGAGAGGTGAGGTGGCTGCAGAAGAGAACCTTGAAGATAGCAAAGGTTGGTTCATGAGGTTTAAGGAAAGACAGTATCTTTGTAACACAAAAGTGCAAGGTAAAGCAGCCAAGTGCTGATGTAGAAGCTGCAGCGAGTTACCCAGAAGATCTAGCTAAGATAACTGATGAAAGTGGCTACACTAAGTAGGTTTTTATTGTAGATGAAATAGCCTTATGCTGGAAGAAGATGTCATCTAGGACTTTCATAGCTAGAGAGGAGAACTCAATGCCTAACTTCAATGCTTCAAAGGATAGGCCAACTCTCTTGTTAGAGGCTATTGCAGCTGCTGACTTTAAATTGAAGCCAATGCTCATTTACCATTCTAAAAATCCTAGGGCCCTTAACATTTATGTCAAGTCTACTCTGCCTGTGCTCTATAAATGGAACAACAAAGCATGGATGACTGCGGATCTGTTTGCAGCATGGTTTACTGAATATTTTAAGCTCGCTGTTGAGACTTACTATTCAGAAAAAAGATACCTTTCAAAATATTACTGCTCAGTGACAATGCAACTGGTCATCCAAGAGCTCTGATGGAAATGTCTGAGGACATTAACGTTGTTTTCATGCCTGCTAACACAGATCCATTCTGCAGCTCACAGATCAAGGAGTAATTTCAATTTCCATGTCCTCTTATTTCAGAAATACATTTTATAAGGCTTTAGCTGCCCTACATAATTCCTCTGAGGGATCTTGGCGAAGTAAATAGAAAACCTTCTGCAAAGGATTCACCATTCTAGATGCCATTAAGAGCATTTGTGCTTCGGGAGAGGAGCTCAAAACATCAACAGGAATTTGGAAGAAGTTGATTACGACCCTCATGGATGACTTTAAGATGTTCAGTGAAACTTCAGTAGAGAAAGTAACTGCAGATGTGATGAAAATAGCAAGAGAGCTATAATTAGAAGTGAAGCCTGAAGATGTGAGTAAATTGCTACAATCTCATTATAAAACTTGAATGGATGAGGAATTGCTTCTTATGGATGAGCAAAGAAAGTGGTTTCTTGAGATGGAATCTACTGCCGAAGATGCTGTGAACACTGCTAAAATGACAACAAAGGATTTAGAATTCTATATAAACTTAGTTGACAAAGCAGCAGCAAGGTTTAAGAGGACTGACTCCAATTTTGAAAGAAGTTCTACTGTGGGTAAAATGCTATCAAACAGCATCGCATACTACAGAGAAATCCTTAATGAAAGGAAGAGCCAACTGATGCAGCAAAATTCATTGTTGTCTTATTTTTTAAAATTGCCACAGCCACCCCAACCTTCAGCAACTACCACCTTGATCAGTCCCAGCCATTAAGATCAAGGCAAGACCCTCCAGCAGCAAAAATATTGCAACTCACTGAAGACTCAGATGATCATATATAAAAATATATATATAATTTACAAGAAAACCCAAACAACCTCATATATGTGTATATATGTGTGTGTATATATATGTGTGTGTGTGTGTGTATATATATATATATATATATATGAGATGGAGTCTCATCTCACTGTGTTGCCCAGGCTGGATGCAGTGGCGTGATCTCAGCTGACTGCAACCTCCACCTCCCGGGTTCAAGAGATTCTCATGTCTCAGCAGCCTCCTAAGTAGCTGGGACGACAGGTGTGAGCCACCACGCCTGGCTAATTTTTGTATTTTTAGTAGAGATAGGGTCTCACCATGTTGGCCAGGCTGGTCTTGAACTCCTGACCTCAGGTGATCTGCCCACCTCGGTCTCCCAAAGTGCTGGGATTACAAGCTTGAGCCACAGCACCTGGCCTCTCTCTCTATTTTTTGAGATAGGGTCTTGCTCTGCCACCCAGGCTGAAGTGTAGTGGCATGATCCTACCTGATGCACCCCACCCTTGAAGTCTTGGGTTCAAGCAATCCTCCTGCCTTGGCCTCCCAGAGTACTGGTATTATATGCATGAGCCACTGTGCCCAGCCAGCAATTAAGTATTTTTAAATTAAGTCATGTATATTGATTTTTTATATAATGCTTTTGCACACTTTATTTAATACAAAATAGTACAGTGTAAATATAATGTTTATATGCCCTAGGAAACAAAAAAAAAATCATATGACTTGCTTTATTGTGGTGGTCTAGAACTGAACCTGCAATGTCTCTGAATTATGTGTGTATACCACATTTTCTTTATCCATTCATCTATGACATTTAGGTTGTTTCTACATCTTGACTATAGTAAGTAACATGGCAATAAACATAGGAGTGCAAATACTGCTTTGAGATACTGATTTCAATTCTTTTGGATAGACACCCAGAAGTGAAATGGCAGGATCATATGATTTATCTATTTGTCATTTTTTTGAGTAACCTCCATGCTGTTTTCAAAAGCAGTTGCATCATTTTACATTCCCCCAACAGTGTACTAGGGTTCGAATTTCTTCACATCCTTGCCAACACTTGTTGACTTCTTGACTTTTCAGTAATAGCCATCCTAACAGGTGTCGTATCTCATTATGATTTTGATTTGTATTTCCCTGATGATTAATGATGATGAGCACCTTTTCATACACCCATTGGACAGTTGTAATGTCTTCTTTGGATAAATATGTATTCAAGTGCTCAGTCCACTTTTTAAAAATTTTTTTGCTACTGAGTTGAAAAAGTTCCTTATATGTTTTGGAATACTAGCCCTTTATCAAATATATGGTTCGCAAATATATTCCCTCATTCTGTAGGTTTCTTCTTCACTCTGTTGTTTCCTTTACTGTGTAGAAGCTTTTTAATTTGATATAGTCCCACTGTCTGTTTTTGCTTTTGTTGCCTGTGCCTTTGGTGTCTTATCCAATAAATTATTGCCAACACCAATGTCAATGAGATTTTCCCCTATGTTTTCTTCTAGGAGTTTTACAGTTTCCAGTCTTACATTTAAGTCATTAATCCATTGAGAGCTGATTTTTGTTTATGGTGTTAAGCAAAAGTCTAATTTCAATTCTTTTGCATTTGAATATCCAGTTTTCCCAACACCATTTGCTGAAAAGACTATTCTTTCCTTATTGTGTATTCTTGGCACACTTCTCAAAGATCAGTTCATCACATTTACATGGGTTTATTTCTAGGCTCCCTCTTCTATTCTGTTGGTCTATATGTCTATCTTTATGACACTCCATGCTATTTTAATTACTATATTTTTGTAATATATTTTGAAATCAGAATGTGTGATATCTCCAGACTTGTTCTTCTTTCTCAAGATTATTTTGACTATCCAGAGTCTTCTGTGGTTCCATATAAATTTTGGGATTGCTTTTTCTACTTCTGTTAAAAATACCATTAGAATTTTGATAGAGATTGCACTGAATCTGTAGACTGCTTTGGGTAGTATGAACATTTTCACAGTATTAAATCTTCAAACTCAAGAAAACAGGATATCTTTCCCTTTATTTTCTTTTTCATTATCAATGTTTTTTAGTTTTCAGTGTGCAAGGTCTTTCACCTCCTTTGAAAAGTTTATTCCTAATTATTTTATTCTTTCTGACGCTATTGTAAACTGGAATTATTTTCTTGATTTCTTTTTTGGGTAGTTCATTGTTAGTATATAGAAACACAACTGATTTTTCTGTGTTGGTTTTATCTCCTGCAACTTTACTGAATTCATTTATTGGTTCTAACAGGTCTTTTTGTATGGAGTCTACAGAATTTTCTGTATGTAAGATCCTGCCATCTGCAAAGATCATTTTACTTCTTCCTTTCTGATTTGGATACTTTCTATTTTTTTTCTTGCCTGATTGCTCTGACTAGGATTTCTAGTACTATGTTTAACAGAAGGGGCAGAATGAACATCCTTGAGCTGTTTCTGATCTTAGAGGAAAAGTGTTCAGTTTTTCACTGTTGAGTATGGTATTTGCTACAGGCTTTTCATTTATAGCCTTTCTTATTAATATATTGAGCTACTTTATTACTATATCTAGTTTTTTGAAGGTGTTTATCCTAAAAGGCTGTTGAAGTTTGTCAAATACTTTTTCACATCTGTTGAAATAATCATGTGGTTTTTAATCCTACATACGGTCGATGTAGTGTATCACATTAATTGATTTCTGTATGATGAAACATCCTTGCATCTTGGAGTTAAATTCCATTTGCTCCTTTTAATATGCTGTTGAATTCAGTCTGTCAGTATTTTGTTGAGTAGTTTTGAATCTATATTTGTTGAGAATAAAAGACGACACACGAGAAGCAAAGAGAAAGGAACCAAAGCATATCAATACAAAAACATCAATGAAACACAAGGAAAGATGGCATGACAGAAAAAGATAGGCAAAAGTATTACAAGACAGACAGAAACAATGTAAAAAATGGCAATAGTAAGTCCTTAATAATTCAATAATTCTTTAAATGTAAATGAATTAAACTCCCCAGTTGAAAGACACAGAGTAGCAGAATAGACATAAAAACAAGACTCAAGTGTATTTTATGTAGAGGAGACTCACTTTGGGTTTAAGGACACACATAGGCTGAAAGTGAAGGAATGCAAAAAGATATTCCATGAAACTGGAAACCAAAAAAGAGCAGGAGTGGCCATATTCACATAAAAAATAGACTTCAAGTCAAAAACTGTAAAAAGATGCAAAAATGGCATTATATGATGATAAAGGATCAATACATCAAGAGGATATAACCATTGTAAATATATATGCAACCAATCTTTGAGTAAGTGGAAAAAAAAGTAAAAGAAAAAAAGACAGCTACCACCAGTGATTGAAAAAGTTACCCTCCATTCTTTTCCAGTGATATTGAAGAGAGGAACTATGATTATCCTATATCTAAAACTTGAATGTTTCAGGTAAAGAGTTAGCTAAAGAGGTAGTATCTCTGCTAGGCTGGTAGATTCCTAGAAGTTAGGAAATGAATGTTTCAAAAGCCTGATATAGCCAGAGAATTAGAAGTGGAGAGGAAAGAGACGATTAATGTGTGACAAAAGTCTTAAAACAGTAAGTCATTATTCCATTCCATGCCTGCAGAATCCAAGACTTTACATTATATTATTATGTATTTTAAAGTGTAGTACTATACTTTAACTTGCTTTCTTAGTGAATTTAAGAGATTTTTAAAAGACTGCATTAACAGTCCATTTATTAAATCTCTTACTGATACTTTACGATAAATTCTCAAATGTAACGCTAATCTAATTTCCTCTCCTTCCTCTGCCACACTTTTTCACACACACACACACACACACACACACTCCTCTGCATAAACACACTCCTCTACATAAAAGAGACCAATAGCTCTATTATTCACAATCTCTAATAAAAATGCCTTTTCACAGGTCATAGTTAATATTTTAACTTTTTTCTCATTCTTAAAAAAATAAAAGAGCATTGGCCAAGCGTGGTGGCTTATGCATGTAATCCCAGCACTTTGGGAATTCAAGGCAGGAAGATTGCTTGAGCTCAGAAGTTTGAGACCAGTCTGGACAATACGGCAAAATCCTTTCTCTACAAAAAAAAAAATACAAAAATTAGCTAGGCATAGTGGCATGTGCCTGTAGTGTCAGCTACTTGGGAGGCTAAGGTGGGAAGACTGGTTGAACCCGGGAGATTAAGGCTGCAGTGAGCTGTGGTTGTGCGACTGTACTCCAGGCTGAGTGGCAGAACTAGACCCTGTCTCAGATGATAATAACAATAATAATAATAATAATAATATTTAAAAATAAAATAAAGCAGCATTAAAACTTCCTTTTTTTTTTTTTTGAGATGGAGTCTCACTCTGTTGCCCAGGCTGGAGTGCCGTGACGAGATCTCGGCTTACTGCAACCTCCGCCCTCCGAGTTCAAGTGATTCTTCTGCCTCAGCCTCCCAAGCAGCTGGGATTACAGGCGCCTGCCACCACGCCTGGCTAATTTTTTGTATTTTCAGTAGAGACAGGGTTTCACCATCTTGGCCAGGCTGGTCTTGAACTCCTGACCTCATGATCCACCTGCCTCAGCCTCCCAAAGTGCTGGGATTACAGGCGTGAGCCACTGTGCTGGGCCTTAAAACTTTTTAATATTCTTAATAGGGTCTAACACTTTTCTTTAAAATTATCACACCTACCATATGCCGAAACCAGTGAAATGCATATTTATTTCCTAACAAAAAAGAAATCTACTTAAAGCATATTACTAATTGTCTTTTTGTGATATGATCACTTTGATTTCAATTATCTTAATAATAAAAAATTCAAATTAGTTTCTTACCTACTCCTGCAACATTTTCAAGCTTCTCTTTAGATTGATTACTTTTCGGGTTTTCAGATGCCTCATCCACATTAGTTTCCTAGAAGCAAAAAAAAAAAAAAAAAGAAAAGAAAAGAAAAAAAGAAAATATATTGGGGAAAATATTTGAAGAACTAAAACATTTTCTTCTGCCTTCATAACCACTTTTAATACAATACACCTTCCTCCACACCCAAATTTACAGAAGACAAGAAGGAGATGGGTTTGTGAGAAAAGCAATTCAAACAGCAGTATTTTAAGGAGCCGCATACTCTGACTAGGAGTTGATGTTCCAAAGAAAGGGTATCCAAGAATGGACGGAGTATTTGAATGATGGATGTAGGAGATAAATACTATAAGATAAATTACATAATATTGTAACTTCAGGGGGTATGAGAAGATACCCCCAGGAAACAGATTACTTTTTTTATTAGAATACATTTTGGCCTGTAACTTAAAAGTGATGTGTCTCTTTACAAAATTCCAAGGAGAATTATAAGGTAAAGTGATCAGTGGGCACTTAAAAAATATTAAAAATGATCTTATTACAAATGATCTTTTAATAAGAACCCTAAGTTCTTAGTCCCTTTAATAAAAAGTCCTCCAAAGTGTCTCCAAAATATGAATAGTGTATTGGTAAATACTAATCAGTTTATCCAAAAGCAGCACAACTCTGCCCATTTATCACAGAGGCATTAAAAAACATGAAAATATCAATATGTTATAACTACCATTTTAGACTGTGATCATAGTCAATGTTTTATCCATCCATTGAGAGAGCTATGAATCCTTTATTTCCAAGTCAACACGTATAGGTTAGAGTGTATTTCTAAATATTAAACCTTACTCACATTTCTGATAAGGGTTTAATGTCCAGAAAATACAAAGAACTCTTACAACTTAACAATAAAAAGAAAAATAACTCAATTTTAAAACTGGCAAAGGATTTGAATAAATTTTATCTGAGGAAGATATACAAATGTCCAGTAAACACACGAAAAGATGTTCACATCATTAGTCATTAGAGAAATGCAAATCAAACCCACAATGAGATACCACTTCAAACCCACTAGGATGGATATAATAATAATTTTTAAAAGTTAAAAAGGGTAGATGAAGATTTTGATCCTTCATACATTGCTGGTTGGAATGTACGATAATGCAGCTGCAGTGGAAAACAGTTTGGAAGCTCCTCGTAAATCTAAACAGGGCATAATTATACAATCCTGCTTCCACTCCTTTATATATACCCAAGAGAATTGAAAACATTTGTTCACACATAAACTTGCACATAAATGTTCATAGCAGCATTATTCATAATAGCTTTTAAACAGAAACAACCTAAATGCCTATCAGCTGATGAATGCATAAACAAAATGTGGTATATCCAAATAATGGAATGTTATCTGGAGAGAGAAAAAAATGAAGTACTGGTACATGCTACAACAGGGGTGAAACTTAAAAATATGGCAGGCAAAAGAGGCAAATCACAAAGGACAACATATTGTATGATTCTATTTATATGAAATATCTAGAATAGGCTAAAGCTATAGAGTTAGAAAGTTGACTAATTGCTGCCTAGGGCTAGTGGAGGGGGTGGAAAAATTGGGAGGTGTTGGCTAAAGGGTATGGGGTTGCTTTTGCAGGTGATAAAAATGTTCTAAAATTCACTGTGGTGATGGATACACAACTCAGTGAATATACTAAAGGTCACTGAGTTCTATAAATGGGTCATTTGTATGGTATATGAATTATATCCTTGTAAATTATCAATAACTATTAAACCTTACAAATTATCAATAAATATTCATTGAATGGCACATTATCAAAACAGGTAAGTACCTGAACCATGGAAAGTATTTTATTATATCAAGGACAAAAAAATTGATCATCATTTTAAATTATCATAATCCCATTCTTAATAAAAAGCATTAAAAGCTATATATAGGAGAATGTATTATGTCAATTACCTTAGAATCCTTATGTTCCAATTTTGGCATTAGAATGCTTTCTAAATAGTTAGCTTTGTCTATCCATGTATTCAGATTTCTATATTCTTTTTTCATCTTTTCCAGCCTAAAGAAATCGATTATGAATGAAAAAAGCAAGTGACAGAAGAATATATATGGTATGATTCACAGAAGAATACATGCAACGTGATCCATTTATAAAATGTTCTAAAAGAGACAAACCAACAATATATTGTCTAGGGATACAGTCAAAGGAAAGGGAATGATTACAACAAAAATCAAGGTACTAGTTACCTGGAGACAGTTAAGGAGAGGGATGTAATCTCAGAAGGGTACACAAAACATATTTCTGATATTACTGGTGGTGTATTTATTAACCTGAATCATAAATATGTACACAAGGGGCTTATTATCATTATTTAGGCTATATATACATGTTATAGAAATTATTCAATATATATTACTCTTAGTATTTAAACCACAAGTCTTAGTCAGTTTGAGCTGCTATAACAGAATACAATAGACTGGGTGACTTAAACAGACTTTTTTAAAATATACTTTAAGTTCTAGGGTACTTGTGCACAATGTGCAGGTTTGATACACAGGTATACATGTGTGACGTTGGTTTGCTGCACCCATCAACCCATCATTTACATTAGGTATTTCTCCTAATGCTATCCCTCCCCCAAACAATAGACATTTATTTCTCACAGTTCTAGAGGTCAGGAAGTCCAAGATCAAGGTGCTGGCAGATCCAGTGTCTGGTGAAAGTAGTCTTCCTTGTTTGCAGATGGCCTTCTTATATCCTCACATGGTGGAAAGAGATGGATCTTGTGTGTCTTTCTCTTTTTATAAGGGCATTAATCCCATCATTATAACAGTCCTACCCTCATGACCGAATCTAACCCTAATTATCTTCCAAAGGCAATGCCTCCAAATAACATCACACTGGGGATTAGGATTTTAACATATGAATTTGAGGGGACATACATTCAGTCCATAACACTATATATATTTTATATATATATAATTATTCAATACATATACAATATCTTCCACAATAAAGCAAGTGAAAAAAAGGATATATCTTCTAATCTAAGAAACTTCAAAAAGCTTGAATAATTTAAAGATATAATTAACAAGGATTAAATGGAAGACAGAGAATGTTTCCCAATTCATTTCATGAGGACATAATGGCCTTGACAATAAAACCTGACAAAGACATTATGAAAAAGAAAAATTACAGTCTAATCTCATTCATGAATATAGATGTGAACATTATAAATAAAATATCGTTTTAGTACAAAAATCTGGTAGTGTGCAGAGACAATTTGAGAATAGCAGTTGAAACTGGGAGGGTTTTTCTCATTTCGGGATTCATGGTAAGATCTAAAGGGCCCGGAGCAGCCTAACCACTATGAACGCTCAAAACTGACCAGCCAAGTATCTCTTCCGGGACAGGATCCCAGGAAATCTTAAAAAGCATTCCATTATACTACACACACACACACACACACACACACACACACACCCCAAATGAAAACATCAGAGGTGTGAATCTGTGAAGCTAGAAGAGTTTTCTAAGCCAATTCTCCTGCAAAAAATTCAGACAAATTAATTTCACATAAAATAGACCAACACACTTTAACAAAGATTAAAACCTGCAATGGATTGCAATGGATTGCAGCCTATCAAATGTTTAAATCTATGAGTTCAAAATAATATTTTAAATATTTTTTTCAGAAACTAAAGTGTAAGACCTTACACTTCTGGTCCACTATAGGCCACTGCCCTAATGTATATACAACATGAAACACCATTTCATCAATAGGCTCATTTATTTAATTAATAACAGTAATATTAATAATTTTCATAATCTGAGAAGGCTTCACTTCAAAATGGGAAGTCTCAGTAGTGGAACTTTCATCTAAAAATCTCGAATGATTTCATGGCCACCCATAACCATATTATACAATCAAAAAGCCCACGTACATAGAAGCTAAAAATAAGAAAGCAAGGAGTCAAACCCCTTATAACTAGTTTCAGGCTAGCTTCATAACCATTATGACTTTTTCAACAAGAAAGATACTAGTAAAAATGTTACATAACTTTGTCAAAGTTAATTTACAAGTTAAAATTCTTTATATCATTGTGGTATACCTATTCCAGTCAGGCTTTCAAGATGCAGCATCATCTATTATAGAAGAACTACACTTACACAATCACACTGTAATAACCATTTTCTTAATTAGCTCTTTAGTCCTTTATGTTATTTCACTAACACTAACCACTAAACTAACCCACACAAAATAGATGCTTAAGAAGTAGAAACAGTATTAATTATCTTACTCACTATTATTTTAATCCTAATTACTTTACTGTCTTTATGAATCCTATACATGATAAGTAAAATGAGTATCTCTTCTCTAACTTGAAAAACCATAGACTACCAATGATATTTAGGTATAAATATACAGACTACGAAGACCTGAAGTTTGATTCTTATATAATCCCTACAACAGACCTTAAACCAGGAGATCTATGACCACTAGAAGTTGATAATTCGAGTAGCCCTACTTATGGACATATCAATTTTCTCAATGAGATGAATGAATTCATCTCATTCAAAGAGGTATTACATCCATAAGCTGTTCCATCATTAGGCCTAAAAACAGATTAAATTCCAGGGCCAGAGAAACCATGCTGCAGGCTGCCCCTGACAGGCATATCCCCAGGCTGGGCAAGCAGCCAAGAGCCCATGTTCAGGACCTGAGAAACAGCTCCTCAGGCTACCTCCAGTGGCCACGCCCCTGAGCAGCTTTGCACCTGAATACCAGACCTGTGAAATGGCCCTGTGGGCAGCTCCCAGCAAAAACATCACCAGGCCAGCAAAGCAGCTGTGCACCCACATCTCAGGCCCAAGAAATATCCCTAAAGGCTGCCCCTAGCAGACAGGATTCCAGGCCAGCTGAAGAGCTGTGTGCCCACATCTGAGGCCTAAGAAACAGCCCCACGAGTTGCTCTGGGCAGGAATATTCCTAGGCCAGACAAGCCACTACATGCCACCCATTTAAGAAACAGCCCAGTGAGACCATCCCTGACAAAGTCACACCACCATCTCTATAGACTCTCTCAGCCTAGGCTACTGAGAAACTTGCAAATACCACTACTATAGATTATAGCTGAAAAACTATATGAAGACTAAACTACTGGATCCACCTAGAACTGGGCCAATGTGCCCCACCAATCTGATATCCCAAGATGTCATACAATATTCATACAAATATTTCCCTGGGAAATCTACTACATACGATTGAAAGAGGTGACTTTTCCATCAGATACACAGAAATCAATGTAGGGACACACGAGTTAGGAAAAAGCAAGGAAACGTCACCTTCAATAAAAACAATAATTCTCCACCAACAGACCCCGATCATAAGGAAATACATGAAATGTCAGAAAAAAATTCAAAATAATGATCTTAAGGAAACTCAGATATAAGAGAATACAGATAGACAATTAAATCAGGAAAACAATTCATGATTTAAATGAGAATTTCAACAAATATACAGATATAAAAAGAACCAAATGGATATCCTAGAGCTGAAGAATTCGATGACTGGAATAAAATGTAAAATTGTGGACCATGTACAGTGGCTCACACCTGTAATCTCAGCACTTCGGGAGGCCAAAGTGAGTAGATCACTTGAGATCAGGAGTTCAAGACCACGCTGGCCAATAAGGTGAAACCCTGTCTCTACTAAAAATACAAAAATTAGGCTTGGTGGCTCACGTCTGTAATTCCAGCTACTCAGAGGCTGAGGCATGAGAACTGCTTGAACCCAGGAGGTGGAGATTGTAGTGAGCCGAGATAGTGCCACTACACTCGAGTCTGGGCAACAGAGCAAGAAAAAGAAAAGGAAAAAAATAATGAAATGTACAATTGAGACCAGACCACAGAGAAGAAATAATTTCTTAACTTAAAGGCAGGACTATTGAAATAATACAGGCAGATGAAAAAGAAGAGAGTGAAGAAAGGCTACAGGACTTACAGGACACGGTTAAAGAAACAAATTATCACATTATGGGAGTTCCAGAAGAGAAGCTCCTATAATCACGAGAAACTGAATTCTTCAAACAACCTGAACAAACTTGGAAGAGAACCCCTCTAAATAAGAATGCGCTGGCCAACACCTGTATTTCAGCCTTGTGAAATCTCTCTCTCTTTTTTTTTTTTTTGAGATGGAGTTTTGCTCTGTCACCCAGGCTGGAGTGCAGTGACGTGATCTCAGCTCACTGCAACCTCCGCCTCCCAGGTTCCAACGATTCTCCTGCCTCAGGCTCCTGAGTAGCTGGGATTACAGGTGCCCGCCACCACGCCTGGCTAATTTTTGAATTTTTAGTAGAGACAGGTTTTCACCATGTTGGCCAGGTTGGTCTCAAACACCTGACGTCATGATCGGCCTGCCTTGGCCTCCCAAAGTGCTGGAATTAGAGGCATGACACACCACGCCCGGCCAGCCTCGTGAATTCAGTTACACTCTGCCCAGACTTCTGACTTACTGTGAGAAAATAAATAGATACTATTTTAAACAACTAAGTTTGTGACAATTTGTTATGCAGCAATAAAGAGAGAATACACCTAATGATCATTAGTAAACAAATGAAAATTGCAGTATATTCACCAAATGGAATGCCATGAAACAGCATAGATGAGTCTTAGAAACATAACAGTGGGTGATGTAAGCAAAATCAAATAATGTATTATTTAAGCATCCTACATATATGATTTTTAAAAAAAACTTAATTTTCAAAAGGCAAACAATAAAAACTCATTGAAGTAGTTAACTTCTGGGAAATAGGCAGGAGGATGAAATAGGAGAGAAGCCCATAAGTAGATACAAATTATCCATAATGTTTTAGATTTTAGGTTAGGTTGAGTACTGGTTGGTATCATTATATTATTTTATACATAATTTACATTAGTATTATGGATTATTATTTTGGATCAAATATTATATTTAAAAGATAATATAGGCTGGGCACGGTGACTCACGCCTGTAATCCCAGCACTTTGGGAGGTCGAGGCGGGTGGATCATTTGAGGTCAGAAGTTCGAGACCAGCCTGACCAACATGATGAAACCTCATCTCTACTAAAAGTACAAAAAAATTAGCCGGGCTTGGTGGCACACACCTGTAGTCCCAGCTACTCAGGAGGCTGAGGCAGGAGAATTTCTTGAACTCAGGAGGCAAAGGTTGCAGTGAGCCAAGATCACACCACTGCACTCCAGCCTGGGTGACAGAGTGAGACTCCATCTCAAAAAAAGGAAGGAAGGAAGGAAGGAAGGAAGGAAGGAAGGAAGGAAGGAAGGAAGGAAGGAAGGAAGGAAAATAATATAAAACACCTACATTGGCTTCTTATTTTTCTTAGAATAAAATTCAAATTATGGTCTATAAGGCTCTGAATAATCTGGTCTCCACCTATCTTGTCTTAAGCCGCGTTCCCCCTTGCTTTTTGCTTCATTTCAATGGCTGCCATCTTTTTCTAGGCATAATCTCTTCTTATCTTAGAGCTTTCATACATATTCATACAGTAATTCTCTACCCCTGGATCTTTGGTATGCTGACTCCTTTCCTTTAATGTTACCTCAAATATCTTCTCTAATTTTTTTTTTTTTTTTTTTTTTTTGAGATGGAGTCTCGCACTGTCTCCCAGGCTGGAATGCAGTGGCACGATTTCTGCTCACTGAAACCTCTGCCTCCTGGGTTCAAGTGATTCTCCTTCCTCAGCCTTCCAAGTAGCTGGGACTACAGGTGTGTGCCACCACGCCCGACTAATGTTTTGTATTTTTAGTAGAGATGGGGTTTCACCATGTTAGCTAGGATGGGTCTCGATCTCCTGACCTTGTGATCCACCCGTCTTGACCTCCCAAAGTACTGGGATTACAGGCGTGAGCCACCGCGCCCAACCCCTTCTCTAACAATTCTTATAAAAATCAGTCACCTCCTTTATTTTCTACCATCTTTTCGATACCTTCGTAGTTTATTTCTTAATTTATAATTTATTTGTTTTGCTTTGTATGTCTCTACTCATTATACTCTAAGTTCTTTCAGAAAAGATACTATGATCTTTAAAGTGATCACTGTGATTCTGAACCAGGTTATTTCAGACCAATCATCTCACCACACAACTATAAATTCTGGACAAAACATTGTCTAAATTGTGTTGGAAAGAATCACTGAGTTATAAAGACAGCAAGGATTTGCATACCAAAGATTCCAGACAGAAAGGAAGTCCAGAGACATGGAGCCCATCATTTGGTGCCATTTTTCCTTCAAGGCATTTATGCCTTGAGATGGCCAAGAAGTTAAAAAGCTGAGCAGGGCTTTGAGATAGAGACATAAGGATGTCAGAACAAAAACCAGAGTCCCGGGCTTGTTGGGATGAAAAGTCCTGGTAAACACCCAGTTGGGACCCCAAAAGGCTTTAAGAAAATGACTGTCTCTTTAAATGTTATGACCTAGTTGCCTCATGTGCCTCACACTAGTCCCAGTCCTGACACTAGGAGTAAGAATAAACCACAAAGAGACTAACCCCCCTCACAGGAACTAAAGCCCAGCTTCAAATCATTTCAATTTCAGTCTTAATTGAATTAAAGTGATCTGGGATTGTTAGTGCTCCTAGCCCAACCGGTTGCCAGATACAAATGTATACCTTCTTTGGAGGAATATGTAATTAAAATTAAGATCCTCAAAACAGTTCTATAAATTTTCAAATACAATGTCTGGCACTCAATCAAAACAACTAGGCATGTGAGAATGTAAGAACTGACTGAAAACTAAGAGAAAACCCCAATAATTTAAATAGACTCCCAGAAGATCCAGATAATGAAATGGTCAGACTCAGATTTTAAAATAGCAATGATTGCTATAAACTGAAAAGTGTACATACCCCAAAATTCATATGTTGAAATCCTAATCCCTTATGTGATACTAATTGGAGGTAGGGCCTTTGGGAGGTAATTGGGTCATGAGGGAAGAGCCCTCATGAATGGGATTTGTACTATTACGGTGAGAGACGAGAGAGATGATCTCCCTCCACAGTGTGAGGATATGGTAAACAGAAGGCCATTTGCAAACCAACAAGAGGGCCCTCAGCAGGGATCAAATCAGCTGGCACCTTGATCTTGGACGTCCCAGCCTCCAGAACTGAAATAAATAAAAGTCTGTTGTTTAAACCATTCAATCTGTGGTATTTGTTATAGCAGCCTGAGCTGACCAAGACAATAATAAATATGTCCAAAGAATTAAAAGACAAGGCTGTGGATTTTGGCAGATAAATAGAAACTATAAAAATGAAGGGAAATTCCATAGTTGAGAAATAAAATAACTGAAATTAAGAATTCAATTGACTTAATGGCAGAATAGAAACAAGAGCTTGTGAACTAGAATATAACTCAGAAGAAAATACCTAGACTGAAGCATAGCAAAAAAAGGACAAGAAATACAGAAAAAAAAAAAAAGCACGAGACCTACGAAATATGTTGGTAAATGAGAAGACAGCAAGAATTATGCTTTATCCCTCATAAATGAGTTTTCACCTCAGCTAGGCACAATGTAATCCCAGCACTTTGGGAGGCTGAGACTGGAGGATCACTTGAGGCCAGGAGTTCCAGACCAGACTGGTCAACATAGCAAGACCTCATCTCAAAAAAAAAAAAAATAGCCAGGCGTGGTGGTAGTGTGATGTGTCTGTAGTCCCTGCTTCTCGGGAGGCTGAGGCAGGAAGATTGCTTGAGCCCAGGAGTTCGGGGCTGCAGTGAGCATAATCATGCCACTACACTCCAACACTCCAATCTGGGCCAAGCTGGGTGACAGAGTGAGACTCTGCTTCAAAACATAAAAATAAAGGGAGTTTTCACCTCTTTATCTGGCATAACACTTTTTCAAACAAGATACCTAAATTGACAAGTAAAATTCAGAAATAATCTCTGAATCAATGAAACAATAGCACCATAATGAAAGTTTCTGAGCCTACAGCAAGCCTATGTCTCAAAGGGAGAAATTAATGTATTATACAAATAACACCTAAGATGAAAATTTTGAGCTCTTTTGAATTTTTTTTTTTTTTTTTTTTTTTACCTTTCCCGGGGTTGTTGCTGAAGTTTTTCAAGTCGCACTACAGAAGATGTCTGGTCGGAGGATTGCACAGCTGGAGTCCCAACAGTAACATTCAGGTCTGGGGATAAGAATGCTGGATATTCTACTGTCTGTGGTGTAATAACTTTTCTGCAAAATAATAATAAAGTGAAATATTGAAATTATACAAAAGTCCACTTCCAAAATCAGTGGCGGCTATTACTTTTGAACCCTTCCCTCTTTTACACTTTTAGCTCACCTAGCCACCTTGGGCCATCGAAGGCCAGAGCTAGGAAAAAAGCCAAGAGCCAGAGTAAGCGCTCTCCTGATTATCCTTACTACTAAACTCAGACCATAGGCAGCAGGGATGGAAAAGGACAGAAGGGCCTGAAGTTCTAATGAGAAGTACAAAGTATCTGAGCCCAGACATCTCTCCAAATCTTTAGACCCAAATTTCTATCTCTTTTTTTTTATTTCTTTTTTTTAATTATACTTTAAGTTCTAGGGTACATGTGCACAATGTGCAGGTTTGTTACATATGTATACAAGTGTCATGCTGGTGTGCTGCACCCATTAACTCGTCATTTACATTAGGTATTTCTCCTAATGCTATCCCTCCCCCCTCCCCCTACCCCACAACAGGCCCCGGTGTGTGATGTTCCCCATCCTGTGCCCAAGTGTTCTCATTGTTCAGTTCCCACCTATGAGTGAGAACATGCGGTGTTTGGTTTTCTGTCCTTGTAATAGTTTGCTCAGAATGATGGTTTCCAGCTTCATCCATGTCCCTACAAAGGACAGGAACTCATCCTTTTTTATGGCTGCATAGTATTCCATGGTGTATATGTGCCACATTTTCTTAATCCAGTCTATCATTGATGCACATCTGGGTTGGTTCCAAGTCTTTGCTATTGTGAATAGTGCCACAATAAACATACATGTGCATGTGTCTTTATAGCAGCATGATTTATAATCCTTTGGGTATATACCCAGTAATTGGATGGCTGGGTCAAATGGTATTTCTAGTTCTAGATCCTTGAGGAATCGCTACACTGTCTTCCGCAATAGTTGAACTAGTTTAATATTTATTTTTAAAATCTATTAATTTTTTGGAATGCATTTTGTGCTAGGTGCAATGTTCATATGGCTATGTATATTACCTCATTCACTTTTCACAGCAAGCCCATCAGCTGAGAATTATTAGATCCTATTTTATATATAAAAAAGCTAGTATTAGAGAGATTAAACAACTCCTCCCAAGGTCTCACAGCTGGTAAGTGGCAAAGCTAACATTTGAACACAGTCTCTTTGACAATAAAGTTTAGATTCTTAAACTGTATTCTATACTATGCATAGTAGTAAGCACCTTAAACTCAGCATGTCCAAAATAGAACTCACCATTTTCCCCTTCTCCAGATACGCTCTTTCCTAAGTGTTCCCTGGTTCAGGAAATAACAGCACCAAATGTATAGCCAATGGTCCCTAAATGTGAACATCTTTTTTCCTCCTTTCCCCTTCTGTCATCTTCCATCTCCAATCAGTCACTTCCTAATTACAGGAGATATAGCTAAACATTCTAAATACTTTACAAATTAGTTTGTTCCTCCGTTCCATTATATTAGTCAGGATTGTCCATAAAAATAGAACCAATAGGATGTATATATACATAAATATATTTATGATAAGCAATTGGCTCATGTGATTATGGAGGCTGGTAAGTCCCAAGATCTACAAAGTAAATCAGCAAGCTGGAGACCCAGGAGAGCCAAAGGTATAATTTTAGACTGAATTCAAAGGCCTGAGAATCAGGAGAGCCAATAGTGTAGTTCCAGTCCAAAGGCTGGTAGGCTGGAGATCCGATCCAGAAGAGCTGATGTTTCACTTTGAGTCCAAGGGCAGGGAAAAGTTAATGTTCCAGTTCAAAGATAGTCAGGCAGGAGGAATTCTCTCTTACCCCAGGGTGAGTCAATCTTTTTGTTTCATTCAACTTATTGGATGAAGCCCACCCACACTAGGGAGAGCAACCTGCTTTCCTCAGTGTGCCAGTTTAAAAGTGAATCTCATCAAAAACACCCTTCTCTCAGAACAATTTTTGACCAACAGCTAGGTACCTATGGCTGCCACTAACATGTCATTAGATCTGTTGCATGATATGATCCAAATGGCAGAGCAGCTTGCATGGCAGCTTGGACCTGTTGCAGAGCCTTCTCTTGTTCTGGGTCCCACTCAAAACTAGCAGCTTTTTGAGTCATCCAGTAAGTGGTTCAGAATAACACACCCAAAGGAGGAACAGATTACCTCCAAAATCCAAAGAGGCCCACCTGTGGTTATTTCTCCAGGTGTTGTATCTCTTTTTTGTTGTAGGAGAAGCCAGATGCAAAAACCCATCCTTCACTGTGTACAGGATATCACCACCCATACCATGGACCCCTAGAAATTTCACTGAGGCAGAAGGCCCTTGAATTTTTGTCATATTTATTTCCCACTCTCTGACACAAAGATGTCTTATCAATAAGTCTAGAGTAGTTGCTACTTCTTGCTCACCGGGTCCAATCAGCACGTCATCAATAAAATGGACCAGTCTGCTATTTTGTGGAAGAAAAAGGCAATCAAGATCCCTGGAAACTAAATTGTAATGTAGGGCTAGAGAGCTGATATACTCCTAAGTTAGGACAGTGAAGGTGTATTGCTCACCTTGCCAGCCAAAAGCAAACTGCTCCTGCTGGTCTTTATTAACAGGCATGGAGAAATAAGCATTTGCCAGATCTGTGGCTGCACTCCAGATACCAGGGGATATGTTAATTTTCTCAAACAATGAAACTACATCTGGTGTAGCAGTTGCAATTGAAGTTGTCACTTGGCTAAGCTCACAAGAATCCACCGTCTTCTTCATCTGTCTTCTTCACAGGTCAAACATGGGAGTTAAATGGAGATGTGGTGGAAATCACCATTCCTGTGTTTTTCAGGTCCTTGATGGTGACACTAATCTCTGCAATTCCTCCATGCAGTATTGCTTTCGGTTTACTACTTTCATAGATGGAGGGAGTTCTATGGCTTCTTCTTGGCCTTTCCCAACATAATAGCCTTCAATCAATAGATCAGAAAACCAATGATTCTGCCAGTTACTGAGAATATCTATTCCAATTATGCATTCTAGAACCAGGGAAATACCACTGGATATATTCAGGGACTCACAGAGCCAACTGTGAGATGGACCTTAGCCAAAACTCTATTGATCACTTGAGCTCCATAAGTCCTTACTCTGACTGCTGGACCACAGTTACATTCAGAGTCTTCCGGAATTAGTGTTAGTTCAGAGACAGTGTCTAGTAGTCCCCAAAAGCCCTGATTGTTCCCTTCTCCCTAGTGCACAATTACCATGATAAAAGGCCACAGGTCCCTTTGGGGAAGACTGGGAGAAATACTAACGGCATACATTTTTAGAAGTATACTAGGGTCCTTTCTTGAGGTGACCCAACCTCCCTTTCATTAAAGGAGTTCTGAGTCTGTAAAGTAGATCAAGTCTGGGAATTGATTGAGAGGTCATGATTCTGTTTTTATGATGCAGATTAGACTTTTGTTCCCTCAACCTAGAACTTTTCTGCTTATACGGATCAGGTTAGAATTCAGTAGGCTTCCTATCTATTCATGTCTAGGAACACAGGATCAGATAGCCAACACCATAGGTCTGCACTACTAAGACCATTCTTATTACTTACTTGATTCTACTGTCCATTATGGTAACCATACCCACCTTGCCTTTGGCAGTTGAGTATCTTCACTTGGTTCCTGCCACCCTGGGACCCAATTACTCCCATTGCATTTAAGTTTCCCAATTCAGTGACTGCAGGTGCCACTATAAAGTCTAGCCCAGAGGGAAGAGCAATCACAGAGCTCTTTAAGGATGCCAGGGTACCCTTCACAAACTCATTTCCCATAGTCATGGTAAAACGTGTGTCTTTTGGACCCTCCCATGATGGGTGAGTCGATCTTAAATGGCAAGTCCACTCTAACATAATTTCTCTGAACCTCTAAAACCCTTCCTCTACATTAATCGAGCATTTCTAACTAATTCACTGTGAGCCATCTTTTGGTTCCTTTTTCAGTCATTCAACTAAACAAGCTATGAAAGCCCTTTCTAACTCCCCAAGCTGCAGCATTAAATGCAAAAATCTCTGCTTAGGCCAGCTGCAGTGGCTCACGCCTGCAATCCCAACACTTTCCGAGTCTGAAGTGGGTGGATCGCTTGAGCGCAGGAGTTCGTGACCAGCCTGGGCAACACAGAAAAACCCTGTCTCTACAAAAAATACAAAAATTAGTCAAATGTGGTAACACGTTTGGGAGCTACTTGGGAGGCTGAAGAGGGAGGATTGATTGAGCCTCAAGAAGTCAAGGCTACAATGAACTGTGATCTGTTGCCTGGGCAACAGAACAAGACCCTGTCTCCAAAAAGTAAATAAATAAAAATAATCTCTGTTTAGTAAGTCCATGTCAATAAACTCAGCCTGATCCAACTTTATTTTCCTTCCACCATCATCCCCTGCCCTTAATATCCATCCCTATACATGTTCTCCAGATTTCTGTCTGTATAAATTCAAAAACTCAAATAGTTCTTTTAGAATATATACGGAATATATTCCCGAGGACCCAAAGGAGTAAAATTTGCTCACATTTGAGAAGCATAAACCTACAATGATGATGATGGTAATGAAAAATATTTATTAATTTTATAAATAGGTAACAACTAATTAGGCATTTTGCTATTTGCTACCATGTTCTAAGTACTTTACATGTAACTTATTTAATCATCATAGTAACTCAATTGGGTAGTTTTAATTTTTATCCCATTCAACAAATGAAGCATAAAGAGCCTAAGTAACTTGCCCAAGGTCGTATAGGATGTGAGCCCATGCAGTCTGGCTCTAGGGCCTGAACTCTCAATCACTGTGTCTTGCCCCTGCCAATTACTCTAGCTCATCCCTTGTTGCTCTCCTCCTTGCTCCTAATCTCTTAGCCACTCTCAACTGAAGACTGTTCTCCAACATAATAGAGCCTCTTATGGCTCCCCGCTTTTATTTATGTGCCCTATCAAGAGAATGTGTCCCCTCACTCCTCCAAAATCAGCCAGATGCACTACTACCACTTTAACAAGTCTCACTCTAAGCACTTTCTTTTGTGGAGCCTTATTTAATCATTCTTTCCTCTCCAACTTCCCTAACAAGAATTAGAAGCTCCTTGGCTGTCTCACAGTTCTTTTTTGGATCTTGAAGGGCTTTTATTCCATTTGCATCATCATAGTAATTATTTTTTATGTTACTTTGCATCAAGGGCAAGGAGAAGGCCTCACATGTCTTTGTATCTGCCATGACTTGGGGATATAGCAGACATTCAATAAATGTTTATTTAATCAATGTATGAAGAAGAAAAATAAATAAACATAAGAAAAAATTCAGCTTTACTATTTCAACAAATCACCAATATCAAATAGATAGAGAATTTTAATGATAATATCCAGTGTTGGTGAGACTATAGGAAAATAAGCACTTCAGAACACGATTTCCCATGCAATACCTAATTCCCTCAATCCCATTTCAGCTTTTTTCCATTTCTTATTCTTGGATAACACTATAGATTAAATCTCTTTCTCAGGTGCTTATTTTTCTATAATCTATTTTTATTGTTGAAATTTCAAGATTGATTAGTATACTATATTTTAAGTTACTTTTGGTTTGCTAATGACTTTTTTTTTACCATAGACTTTTTACAGATGATTTTATAGCAGTTGGAGTGGTGTGGAGGTAAGGGTAACATTACTATACTGCAGGGCAGAAAATTGATAACTATCAGACAGTCTGATGTTAAGTCTCTCACCTCTTTTCCCAAAAGGGGTATCTGCTTAGCCTGCTTTCCTTATTAAGCTACTCCTTCCCTCCTTCAGCCATGAACTTGGCACTCCTTCTCTTCTTTTATCTCCACACATCCTCAACTCCTCTATCCAGGGCTATACTCAGAAATTAAAAATTTCTCCCTGTTATTAAGCAAAACAATTCACTACTCTCTGCACCTCAGAGTCTGCCCCATCTTGGCCATGTCCTGGGGACTTCTTAAAAGAACTCCACCAAAATGCTCCACCAAACGGATTAAAATTGTTTTAAATGTCACATGATCTGACCATATTAACGAGACTTAAAACACTTACGTCACGGGATCTGTTCTTTCTGGAGGTGGTGTAGGATTCATAAACATGGATGGTTCAGTAATTTTCTGAAGAGGTTTTAACTGAAAAAAAAATGTAAGTGTATTTTAGCACTGCTTAGTTACAATTAAAACTCACTAATTGTAATATCACACCATATTAATACCATAATGCTATGAATAACCCAGGACTATGAAATAGGCCTTAAATGAGACATGTAAGGAAATAAGGAATTAAGAGAGGAAAGAAAAAATTAACATTTATTAGGTACTAAATATTTGCCAAGCATTTTATTATACTTTTAATCTTATTTAACTATCTCAATAAACCTATACGGTAAGTAACTAAGCATATTCTACAGATGATACTGAAGATCAGTAATTTGTTCAAGGCTACACAATAGGCAAAAGTCAGGACTTGAATGTAGCTTTGTCTGCCCCCAGTGTAGTGCCCTGTTTACAGTATCACGATAGGTTAAGTAGGGGACCATATCACTGAAAAGTTCATAGATATAAAATCAAGTTTTTATTTTGAACTTTTATTATATATCCCATTTTTTTCCGTACAATTCCTTTGTTCCTGGTTTTTAGTAGATTCCACCTACATAAAATAATACTTGCCCAGTTTTATCTGAAAAGAATAACTCTCCTTAAAAATGACTATTACTACATATTATACTTATGTTCAGACACAAAACCTACCTCTGGAGTTGGTGCTCATGTGCTATAACTGTCACAAAAGGAGTAAACAATTAGGGGTCCCTATAAGGCCTAATTATGATAAGAAATTTTTAAAATAACAGAAGAAAAAGTAAAAAATCAAAGCAAAGAAGGGAAAAAAAGCTTGTTCCTTGTGGCTTTCATCTGTATATTCTGATTCAAAATGTATTAAACATCATTATAATATAGGCAAGATTTTAAAACATATTACAGAGACTTCTCAGTTAACATAGTGGTAGACTTGTTTAATAAGGCTGATATCTTCACTCTCAATTCCTAATTTAAAAAGACCCAAAGGCCGGGCACGGTGGCTCAAGCCTGTAATCCCAGCACTTTGGAAGGCCGAGACGGGCGGATCACGAGGTCAGGAGATCGAGACCATCCTGGCTAACACGGTGAAACCCCGTCTCTACTAAAAAATACAAAAACAAAAACTAGCTGGGCGAGGTGGCGGGCGCCTGTAGTCCCAGCTACTCGGGAGGCTGAGACAGGAGAATGGCGTAAACGCGGGAGGCGGAGCTTGCAGTGAGCTGAGATCAAGCCACTGCACTCCAGCCCGGGCGACAGAGTGAGACTCCGTCTCAAAAAAAAAAAAAAAAAAAAAAAAAGACCCAAAACTTTAAAAAGGAAAAACTGAAAGTGAAAAATGATATGCAAATAAAGGTCATTTCCCCTACACAACAGCAGCACTAACAGGACTGCATTTTTGAATACCATAAAACTGATGACATCCAGGAATATTAAGAGTTCTTTCAATATTTGATGACAGTATATATTGGTACAACTTTTCTGGAACAATTCCTTGAAAAGGTCATTGTTCTGGACAAGAATTTCCTTTCTAGGAATCTGGCCTAAGGACATAATGAAAGAAAAGGATATAGGTTAGCACATAAAAGTATTTGTGGCAATGTGGACCTATGGTAGTGAATTTAAAGGAGGAAGTCAAAACTAGGAAGAGATCTTCTTTGGGTTTATTACTCTCTTGATGAATCAAGGAGAGTTCAAATAACATCAGATGTTGAAATAACTGTGGAGGAAAGGACCGTATGAGTACAAAATATTATCTGAATTAGATCAATTACTCCATTTTGTTTTCCCAGAGCAGGATCTCACTGCATTGCCCAGGCTGACTCATGTGATCCTCCTGCTTCAGCCTCCAGAATAGCTAGGATTACAGGTGTGAGCCACCAGGCCAGGCAATTACTCAATTTTTAATAACTATTTTTAGATGCAGAAATCGACACTGATTTCTTGAATACTGGTGCCTTAAATTACATCAATATGTATGTGTACACACAAATAAAAGCAAGTTTTATTTTATTTTTTTGAGACAGAGTTTCACTCTATCGCCCAGGTTGGAGTGCTGTGGTACGATCTCGGCTCACTACAACTCCCGTCTCCCAGGTTCAAGCGATTCTCCTGCTCCAGTCTCCCGAGTAGCTGGGATTACAGGTGCCTGCCACCATGCCCGGCTAATTTTTGTATTTTTAGTAGAGATGGGGTTTCGCTGTGTTGGAAAGGCTGGTCTCGAACTCCCAGCCTCAGGTGATTCACCCAGCGTGGCCTCCCAAAGTGTTGGGATTATGGGTGTGAGCCACCACGCCTAGCTTAAAATCAAGTTTTATAATAAAGACATGTCGAATAAAATATCATTGCTTTAAAATGTATAAACAAATCATAGTAAAGTCTCATCTTTCTTTAGGCTGAAGAAAAGCCCACATACCCCAAGATCGGGAGGTAAAGAAGCATCTTTTAAAAATATTTATTTTAAATAATTGATCAAACTGAAATAGAGCCTCAGAAGAGGATAATTTGACTGAAGAGTTACAACAGAATAATCTTTTAAAAGCGGGGAACTAACCTGATGTGAAAATCCATAACCAAAGTTTCCATAGGAGAACATAAATTCCACCTCCAGCCTGCAGACAAACTAAACATGTGGTAAATTTTATTGTTTGATCAGGATGATATTTTAATGGAGAAGTGACAAAAAGTGATATTTTTACTTTACAGATCTGTAAGTTAGAAAAGCCAAAGTATGAACCTCCCGACTTTTAAAAAAGCATTTACACAAGGAACTCCTACAGAAGAATTTGAGTTCCTAAAATGTTAAAACCTTTTATGTTAAAGTTAAGTAGTATTATACAATTAAAATATGGAAAATATCAACTTCTAATTGTTACTAGGATTACAATGAGACACTGACACACACATATATATACATGTAGATTCATACATGTATATGAATAAATATACATTCATGCATGTATATTTTTAAATATTTACTAACACTCCTCTTACCTCCAGTCCCAGTTTCAGATAAAATTTTGATTTAGACAAGTGATTTCACTTCTCTGAAACCCAGGTTGCTTATATGTGAAATAAAGGAGGGCATGAGAGGTAATAAAGTCAAGTGTCCATCATTCTGTTTTTTATGTTCCTGGCCCCTGTTTTGGCCACTGGCAGCAAAGGTCTCTCTGAATAGAAAGATCAATTAATCTAACTACTAATTTTAAGGACTTAAAAAGAAATTAAATTAAGAACTGTAAACAACTCTTTAGAAACTCCCCAGAGAAAAAAATAATACTTCCTCAATTTAGCAAGTGAGGCTCCTGAGGCTATGCAGTCAAGGCAGTGGCCAGAGGCATTCTACTCTCTTACCCAATGATTTCTAATTTTCTTTATCACCATTTAGCCAAAAAAAAAAAAAAGAGGAGGAGGAGGAAGAGGAGATTTTTGTTAGTAAATATTGTACTTCCTATTTCATACATTTCTACTATTTCAAACCATGACTGGTACAGTAACTAAAAGAAGAAAAAACATGTAGGCTACAAATAATATCAGAGTAAAGTTACATGAAATGTTAAGAAAATATTACATGCACATAAAACTTAAGAAGTTTCAGGAAAGTCCTTACTACGTTTCTATGCAACACTTGGACTTCTTCAATGAAGCACCCTTTCTAGAAAAAATAAAATAAAAGATTTTAAATATAGAATTACTCATGTATTTCCCTGTATATTATCTAAACCAAGGGTCCCCAACCCCTAGACTATGGAGTGGTACTGGTCCATGGCCCATTAGGAACTGGCTGCACAGCAGGAAATGAGTGGTGGGCAAGCGAGCAAAGCTTCATCTGTATTTACAGCCACTTCCCATCACTCACATTACCGCCTGAGCTTCACCCCCTGCCAGATCAGTGGGGGCATTAGATTCTCACAGGAGCACGAACCCTATTGTGAACTGTGCATGCAAGGGATCTAGGTTGTGAGCTCCTTAGGAGAATCTAATGCCTGATGATCTGTCATTGCCTCCCATCATCCCCAGATGGGACTGTCTAGTTGCAGGAAACCAAGCTCAGGGCTCCCACTGATTCTACGTTCTGGTGAGTTAGTTGTATAGTTATTTCACTATATATTACAATGTAATAATAATAGAAATAAAGTACACAATAAATGTAATGCACTTGAACCATCTCGACCCACCCTCCCCACGCTGGTCTGTGGAAAAATTTGCTTCCACAAAAATCATCCCTGGTGCCAAAAAGGTTGGGGACCACTGATCTAAACCACAAATCAGGTAATAATTTTTCAAATGCACATATGAACCTAATAGCCAAAGTACAAACATAAGGAATGTCCAAAAGAAGAAAATAAAAATTCCAAGTTCAAGTAACAGAAATAAATGTATTTATATTATGTTGTAGACAAAAATGTTCTGCTAAGTTACAGTTCACCTTTTTGAAAGTCTTAAAGGAACTGCCATGCCTACATTGTTTTTGAGGGTGTATTGAGCATCCTTGACATAACTAACTCCATCTTAGAAAAAGACTCCATTTTATATTTTATAGGGCACTTTGCCAATAAGGATAAGATGTTTTGTTTAATGCACAAATAAAAAAATAAAGACTACGTTCAATCAGATAAGGACAGAAACAAGCACACTCTTCCACTATCTGTTTTCAGCAGAGGACTCTGTGACTATAAAAGATTAGGCTTTCAGCAGCTCGAAACAGCCATCTTAACTGACACCATCTTACAGCCACTTGTGATAAGAACTTCACTTCTGCCACTGAAGGTTCTGCAACCTCAGACTCCTCCTTGCAAAACTGATGGACTGCCCAGCCCAGACCAGGGCTCCTTTCGTCTTCTTTGCTCCCCATAGGCCAGTTCGTTAACCTTTTCTCCTATTTCTTTTTCCTCTTGATATTAAATGTTACTTTGTTGTAGAATGTAATGTTTACATATTAAGTGTACTATTAGGTATGTTTGCAATATGGACTGACTTGTGGAGTGGCCTGAGCCTGTGTGCCCGTGGCATGCCAAGTGAACGGGAGGTACTAAGGAGAACTGGCTCCTTGGGAACTCCATGTAGCTTGTGGCTTTCATGATTGAAATAGCATTAATAAAAGCCTGACATTGTCGAAAGACACAAACATGCATGCACCCTCCTGAGAGAGGGGTTACTTAAACATAATTCTACATGATAAGCTGACTCCTGATAGGACTGAGTACTTCTCTCATCTCTCAGGGAGGGCTGGATCTTTCAAACCACATATCCTTGCTCAATATCTAGTCATCTCTGCTGTTATGAATAGGTCCACAATTTTCCAGAAGCTTTTTGAGTGCCAAAATGACACCAGAAGTAAAAAATTCCATACCTGGCCTATGTGACAAGTCACAATCAATATACAAAGAAGACTTTGTTTCATGCACAAAATTATTTAAAATATTATATAAAATTACCACTAGGCTATGTGTATAATATGTATATGAAACATAAACAAACTTCATGTTTAGAATTGGGTCTCATCCCCAAGCTATCTCATTATGTGTATGCAAATATTCCAAAATAAAAAAAAAAAAATTAGAAGTCCAAAATGCCTCTGGTCCCAAACTTTTTCAGATAAGTGATATTTAACCCGTACAGACATTCTGGAAAATACTATGGGTGTTACTCAAAAAATTTAAAATATCATTACTATATGATCCAGCAATCCCACTTCTGAGTATACATTTAAAGGGATTGAAATCAGTATGTCAAAGAGATATCTGCACTCATGTCAGCACGATAGCCAAGATATGGAAGCAACCTAGTGTCCATCACCAAATGAACAGATGAGTATGTGGTGTATATACCTACATGCAATGGAATACTATGCAGCTTTAAAATAAAAAGAAATTCTGTCATTTGTGACATGGATGAAACTGGAGAATCTTACGCTAAGTGAAATAAGCCAGGCACAGAAAGACAAACACTGTATGATCTCACTTATCTGTGGAATCTAAACAAGTCAATCTCATAGAAACAGTAGAAAGGTGGTTACCAGAGGCTGGGGAGTAGGGGTAGGAATGGAGAAAGGGAGGATGTGTATAAAGTTAGACTGGAGGAGCAGGTTCTAGTGATCTACTGCACTGCCTGGTTAATAATAACGTATTGTATGTTTCAAAATTGCTGAATAAAATAGATTTTCATCATCCTCATTATAAAAAAAGATAAGTTGGTGAGGTGATGGAAATATTAATTGGTTTGATTGAACCTTTTTCAGTGTATACATAGATCAAAACATCACATTGTACCCCATAAATATATGCAGTATTTGTCAATTAAAAATAAATAATCAGCTAAAAAATTAATTTATGGGCAAACAGGAATATATCCATATGGAATTTTATACAGCAGCAAAAAATTAAGACTAGCTAAGTGTATTAATATTAGAAACATACTATACTTAGAAATATAAAGTAACATTTCTACAATCATACATAAGTAGTAAAGTTATGAAAAAATAAGGGAATAATAAATACAAAGTTTTGGATAATCATTTTTTCTTGAGGGAGAGGAAGGAGACAGAAGATGGCAACAAGCAGCAACATAAAGACTTGAACTCTATGTTTATTATAATAAAATAAAGAAAATGCAAAAATCTTGTATTATAAAAGTCCTTTAGACCTCATCTTCTCCCTATGCTATATGCTATGGTTGTCATATGCATTACCTCTCCAAACATTATAAACCGCACAGATCAGGTTATGATTTTTACTTTAAATAGTCACACAAATTTTAAAGAAAGTTATAAGAAAACAATAGTCTTTCCTCTAGCACCTCCATTCGGCTGTTGAGCCCAATCCGCAAATTTTTAATTTCAGATATTTTACTTTTCAGTTCCAGAATACGCATTTGGGTCTTTTTATATTTTCTATTTTTCTGTTTATGTTTATAAGAAAGAATTGGAAAGAAACTCTGAACAATGAAACATTATATTAGAATTGTGGAATGATGGGTGATTTTTGAATTTTAAAAAATTTACCTTTGTATTTTACAATATTAGCATATTATTGATCTTATAAAAATAAATATTGAAAAGTTTGCATATATGCTTCTAGTCTAAGTATTTAAGTTTCTACATTTTCTTGAACAAAAATTAACTAATATGTAATGTCACATATTTTGATGCCTAAATTGCCATAGTCAAAGGAACTTTAGTCATTTCCAAAGATCTTCTCCCAAAATATTTTTGAGACTCTCTGGTTGCTTATATTTATGCATTACTCCATATGTTTATCTCCTTCTTCATCTCTTTCTATGTATTAGAAATTTATCTGATTTTCCCCAAGTTCTTATCATGAAAATTTTCAAACACACAAACCACTCAAAAGACTCCAAAAAATACACTCCATGGAAGAGTAAAGAAATTCAAATATTTGTTTAACAACTGTTAAAATTGTTTAACAGTGTGCCATTTTTTAAAATCTCGTGTGTGTATAGATATATGTTTGCTGATCTATTTATAACTTGCAATAATCATTACTCTTCATTCCCAATTTTAAAACTTTACTTTGGATACTGTAAAAATAAGAATATTCATACTTATATATCTACAATATCAGTATTATACCCAAGAAAATTAACAATTCTAGAATTTTTTCTAATATTCAGTAAATATTTATTAAATTTTCCTAATTGTCCCAAAAATGTCTTTTATTTATGTTTATGTTTTCTTTTTTGAGACAGGGTCTCACTCTGTTGCCCAGGCTGGGGTACAGTGGTGCAATCATGGCTCACTGCAGCCTTGACCTCACTGGGCTTATGTGATTCTCCTGCCTCAGCCCCGCATGTAGCTGGGACTACAGGCAGGTGTCACCATGCCTGGCTAATTTTTTGTGGGTGTTTTTTTGTGGGTTTTGTTTTGTGGGTTTTGGGGGTTTTTTTGTTTGTTTGTTTGTTTTAGAGAAGGGGTTTTACCACGTTCCCCAGGCTGGTCTCAAACTCCTGGGCTCAAGCAATCCACCTCCCTCAGCTTCCCAAAGTCCTGGAATCACAGGTGTGAACCACCATGCCTGGCTCCCAAGAGAGTCTTTTATAACTTTTTCAAATCTGTATTCAGTCAAATTGGTTGTATCTCTTTAAATCTAGAACAGTTTCTTCCATCTTTGGTGCATTTTTTTTTTTTTAATGATCACCACTATTTAAAGAATCTACACTGGTATGTCCCATTTCTGTATTATCTTAAGGTATTGTTTAACTTTTTCCCTACTTACTAAATTCCCGTAAACTTGAAGTTAGTTCTACACTCAGCTTGATTAGATTTGGGTTGAACTTTTTTGTTTTTTGTTTGTTTTTTTTGAGGCAGGGTCTTGCTCTGTCACCCAAGCTGGAGTGCAGCAGCACGATCATAGCTCACTGCAGTCTTGAACTCCTGGACCCAATCAATCCTTCTGCCTCAATCTCCCAAGTCACTTGGACTATAGGCACATGCCACCACACCTGGCTAATTCTGTGTGTAGAGACAGGGTCTTGCTATGTTGCCAGACTGGTCTCCAACTCCTGGCCTCAACAACTCTCCCACTTTAGTCTCTCAAAGTGTTGGGATTACAGGCCTGAGCCACCGCAGCCAGCCAGGTTAAACATTTCTGATGACGATAAGTCACAGATAATGTTGTGTACATCACATTGTATCACTACAGGAAGTACATGATGCTGAGTTATCCACAATTCATTATGCTAAATTCGAGCTCTTGGTTAAAGTGGCAACTACCACATCTCTCTATTGTAGAGGAACATTTCCCCTGCATTGTTACTATGGCGCCATGCAAATATCTTGCTTCCCAATAACCTTTTACCTAATGGTTTTTGGTGCCATTACTAAATATTGACTGAATTAATCATTATTCATTATAAAGAGTTGCAAAAACAATAATTTGTAATTCTTTCATTACTTCCACATTCATAAACTGGTATTCTTTTGTTTTAAAAATTTCCTTTTTCTTCCTATGCCACCTCTTTTCTTTTCTTTTTTGAAGATTATCATGGAGTCATGAATTTTCCTTTATTCAGAATGTTGTAATTATGTTCAAGTTATTCTGAAGTTGGCCAATAGGAGTCCCTGCAATCTGGCTGTTGACATAACCCCATTAGTCTTTGAAGACTTCCTTGCTGTATGCAACAAAAAATATTCCTGAAAATACTTTAGGTTGTTTGTACTTATTCACTAATCAATAAGTTCTTGACTCTGAGTTCAACACAACCACAAAATGAGCTGCTGGAAAGTGAAAAGGACTCCTAGAAAGGAGAAAACAAGAGGGAAGCAACCACAAAATCTGTGTATAAACTCTGCCCACATCTTTGGCTAACCCCTAAAAGACACATGCACAAGGAAGTCTATAAGCAGCCCAGCTAAGGATGAAAGAACTAAACCAAAATTTGTGTTGCCAACTAAGAGACAGAGTTTGCGGCTTCAGTCATGTCTTAAGACATTTCAGAAACATAATAAAACATGTATAACTCTATTTAGCCATTCTACAATGTATACATATTTCAAAACATCATTCTGTACATGATAAATATATGCAACTTTTATTTGCAAATTTAAATAGCCAGGCACGGTGGCTCAGGCCTGTAATCCCAACACTTTGGGAGGCTGAGGCGGGCAGATTATTTGAGCTCAGGAGTACGAGACCAGCCTGGGCAACATAGCAAAACCCTGTCTCTACTAAAAATACAATGAGTAGTCAGGTGCAGTGGCATGTATCTGTAGTCCCAAATAGTGGGGAGGCTGAGGCAGGAGAATCCCTTGAGCCAGGGAGGAGGAGGCTGCAGTGGGCCAAGAAATTTTATTTTCCAGAAGGTTAGTGATACAACCTAAAAGTCTAAGTGTGGGTTTTTTGGTTACTTAATTTCATATATATATATATGTATTCTGGAAAATATTTTTTTTTGAGATGGAATATTGCTCTTGTTGCCCAGGCTGGAGTGCAATGGCACGATCTCGGCTCACCGCAACCTCCGCCTCCCAGGTTCAAGCGATTCTCCTGCCTCAGCCTCCCAAGTAGCTGGGATTACAGGCATGCGTCACCATGTCCAGCTAATTTTGTATTTTTAGTAGAGATGCGGTTTCTCCATGTTGGTCAGGCTAGTCTCGAACTCCCAACCTCAGTTGATCTGTCCGCCTTGGCCTCCCAAAGTGCTGGGATTACAGGCTGGAAAATAAATTTTTAAAAACATTATGCTACTATAAGCCAACTCTTTTAAAAAATATATAGCCAAAGGGAGATTTTATTTCTTAAGCACACGAATTTGAAGGCAGATGATAAACAAAAAAGCCCGTCAAGTATAATAAATCACAACAACAAACTGGACAACCAACTGGCAACATGATACCAAGGTGAAAAAAATCATTTATACATACCTGAATTACTTCATAAAGGTGTACCTGAACACTCCCTAACAAGAAGGCACGTTTTTCTGTATTGTCATATTGTATGAGTTCCAATAAAATATTATTCCGCTCATCATCATAACGTCTGGGAACCTCAATATCAGAATATATAAGAAAAGCAGCATTAAATTTGAGCCTAAATATTTCTGAACACATACATCCACTATACTATTACATTATTTGCATACCTAGTGATTCGTTTTTATATGTCATTAGCTTTGTAACTTTCAACCTCACAGTCACATATATACTAATATCAACAAAATGAAGATCTTGCTTATATCTAACGGCAATTATCGTCTTTTGGAAACACTCATTGCCTACATTCTCTTTTTAACGCTATACAAAAGTTCACCCTCAATACTCTATTGAAATTACACTATCAAAGATAATCAACTACCCAATATGAAATCCAAATAATCCAGATAATCCAAATACAGGTTATCCAAATATCCAACACTAAAAAATATCTAATATCCTTTTCAGTCTCTGTTCTTTAACTTTTTGATAACACATATACTATTGCCTGAACTTGAAACTCTCTCCCAACCCTGAGCTCTGGAGCACAGTACCATTATTATGTAACCTTTAGTATCTGTCCACTCTCTTGCTAATTAGAAACAAAGTCATGCCTCCCCACTCCTAAGAATCCAGGTGCCTTCCTACGGTGTCTCTCCTGATGGTTGACATCAGAGCCTATATCAGCCTTCTTAAAGTTATGTTCGTGACCGTCTTCCCCCGAGAAATGAGAAAAAAGGGATCTGCAAACCCTGTGTGCCAGCAGACTAGTTAAGAGGGCAGGCTCCATTTTTCCACAATTTGGCATTCGGATTATCAGAAACAGAAAACTACAAATGCTCAATAAAATATTTAAAATACCATTTTAAAAGCAAAACAGGGTAAATAAAATGGTGAGACATAATCATATGAAACTCCAAGTACTGGCAGACACTCAGAGAAGTAAACTAGACCCTGAAGTTACATTTGCCCTAAGGGCACTTCCCAATCAGGTGACCTAAAACTGCAGTTTGTATGGTCTTGAAAGGCAAAGTCTCTCTAGAAGACAAGACAGGATACATTTAGCAGACGGTCCTTGCCCAACCGTCCTCCCAGAAAGCTGAGAACCCAAAGGGCCATGGCTTCGGTGAATGGAGAACCCCTTCTCCCATCATGTATCTATAGAAGGCTGCAAGGAAAGTTGTACTGCTGAGTAGAACGGAGTGTGGGGTCCCTAATAAGCTATAAACGAAAACCGGTTCAGTGAAATTGCAGCCTAAAGTCACAGTCACTGAATCTTATAAAAAATTTTGAGCCAGACACGTAAAATGGTTTACATGGTAAACTTTATATTATGTATATTTTGTCATAACATAAACAAATAAACAGGTCAACTTAAATTTTTAAAAATATCTCAAGTGGAATTTAGTTTAAAACTCTCCCAAACTGGTAGTGGACTTGGTTGCCTTAGAAGAAACACAAATCTTTCGTAGAGCTACTGCTTTCATCCTAGACCTCAAAGAAGTTCCATAAATAATTTTCCAAGGAAAATGAGCAGTTAACAGTCAAAAATAACTCAGTCAGCATGGAAACAAAGCGCCACAAATGAGAATAGCAAAAATAGACCCCCAAAAAACTTTAAATATTGGAATTTTAACGAGCTATGTTTACTATGTTTAAAGGAACAAAAACCAAGCTGAAAATATACTCCTGGCACAGAAAACTAAAAATGATTTAACAAACCTAAACAAGGAACAACTTGTAGAAATGATAACTAAAACAATTGAATAAAAACACTATATCAACTCAACCACAAATCTGATGCAGCTTTGGAGAATTAATGAACCAGAATTAAGGAATCCCAGCACTTTGGGAGGCCAAGGCAGGTGAATTGCTCCAGCCCAGGCATTTGATACTAGCCTTGGCAACATGGCAAAATCCCGTCTCTACAAAAAAATATGAAAAGTAGCCAAGCATAGTAGTGCACGTCTTTAGTCCCAGTTACTCAGGAGGCTGAGATAGGAGGATCACTTGAGCTCAGAAGGTTGAGGTTTCAGTGAGCCGTGATGGTGCCACTGCCCTCCAGTGTGGGTGACAGAGAGAGACCCTGTCTCAATAAAACTAATAATAATAAAACAAAATAAAGATCACAAGAATTATGTAGAATGCAAGGCAGAGAGACAAAGTGATGAAAAATATTTTTTATAGGTTAAAAGACATGGAAGATAGTGTAAGAATACCTAACATAAGTTAACCAGAGTCCAAGGAAAGGAAATAAAGGATTAAGAAAATGGAGCAGAGAGGCACTATTTTAAGAAATATTAGCTAGCCAGGCATAGTGGCTCATGCCTGTAATCCCAGCACTTTGGGAGGTCGAGGTGGGTGAATCATGAGGTCAGGAATTCGAGACCAGTCTGACCAACATGATGAAACCCTGTATCTACTAAAAATACAAAAATTAGCTGGGCATGGTGTCACGCACCTGTAATCCCAGCTACTCAGGAAGCTGAGGCAAGAGAATCGCTTGAACCCAGGAGGTGGAGGTTGCAGTGAGCCGAGATTGTGCCACTGCACTCCAGCCTGGGTGACAGAGTGAGACTCTGTCAAAGAAAGAAAAGAAAGAAAAGAAAAGAAAAGAAAAGAAAAGAAAGAGAAAGAAAGAAAGAAAGAAAGAAAGAAAGAAAGAAAGAAAGAAAGAAAGAAAGAAAGAAAGAAAAAAAAAAAAAAAAGAAAGAAAAGAAAGAAAAAGAAAGAAAGAAAGAAAGAAAGAAAGAAAGAAAGAAAGAAAAGAAAGAAAGAAACATTAACTAATAATTTTTCATAACTAATGAACATCAACAATCCAGGTTAAGCAGCCAATAAATCCGAACATAATATACAGAAACCCAAATACAGACACATCAGAGTGAAATTAGAAGAAAAATATTTATAACACACACACACAGAGAAAGATACATTATTTTCAAAGGTGACAGGCTGACAAGTGACTTCTCTTCAACAAATATGGATGCTAAGAGACAGTGAAATGATACTTCAGAAAATAACTGCAAATTTACAATTCTATACTCAATAAAATTTTCATTCAAAAATGAGAATGGCATAAAGACCTTCAAACTAATAAAACAGAAAACCAAACACCACATGTTCTCACTCGTAAGTGGGAGTTGAAAAATGAGAACACATGGACACAGGGAGGGGAACATCACACAGGGAGGGGCCTATCAAGGGGTAGGGGGATAAGGGAGGAATAGCATTAGGAGAAATACCTAATGTAGGTGACGGTATGATGGGTGCAGCAAACCACCATGGCACGTGTATATCTATGTAACAAACCTGCCCATTCTACACATGTATCCCAGAACTTAAAGTATTTAAAAAAAAAAAAAAATTCCCTACAGAACAAGGAAAAAAAAAAAAAGACCAGGCAAACAAAATAATTATGTCACCAATTAACTCTCACAGGAAAAATAATTCTAAATAAATAGTTCTGACAGAAGGTAACTGACCCCAGGAGGATGATCTGAGCTGTAAGAAAAGTTAAAGTGGCAAATACGTAGGTAAACTAAACAAATATAGACTATATTAAATAAATACAAATTACAACACAGGGGAATTAAAAATACAAAAAAAAAGAGACCATAATAACATATTAGTTAAGGGCAATAAATGGAATTAAAGTTTCTAAGATCCTTGCTCTTCCCAGGAGAAGGATGAAGGATGAGGGTATTGTTAAACATCAGATTTGATAAAGCATACAAAATTTCCATGATAGCCATTTTTGTTTTGTTTTTGTTTTTGTTTTTTTTTTTTTTTTGAGACGGAGTCTCGCTCTGTCACCCAGGCTGCAGTGCAGTGACCGGATCGCAGCTCACTGCAAGCTCTGCCTCCCGGGTTTACGCCATTCTCCTGCCTCAGCCTGATAGCCATTTTTAAAAAGAGTAGTGTATAATCTCCAAAACAAGAAAGAAGAAAAATGCAATGAAATTGTAAAATACAGTTGACCCTTGAACAACATGGTTTGAGCTGCATGAGTCCACTTAAACATGGTTTTTCTTTTCAATAAAAGTTAGACCCAATGTGCCTGCCTCTCCTTCTTCCTCCTCCACCACTACCTCCTCTCCCACCTTTGAGACAGCAAGACCAACCTCTCTTCTTTCTCAGCCTGCTCAATATGAAAACAAGAATGAAGATCTTTATGATGATCCTCTTCCACTTAATGAACAGTAAATATGCTTTCTTTTCCCTATGATTTTCTTCACATTTTCTTTTCTTTAGTTGCGGTATTGTAAGAATACAATATATAAAATATAACACACAAAATATGTGTCAATCAACTGTTTATGTTATTAGTAAATATTCTAGTCAATAGTAGACTATTAGTAGTCTACTGACTGGGGAAGTCAGAGTTTTGACTGCAGAGTGGGGGTCAGTGCCTCAGTGCCTGTGTTGTCTAAGCATCAACTGTACTCAATCCTGGAGCTGAAGAAGACAAAACAGGTAGGAAAAAAAAATAATCCACAGCGGGGGCGCCCAAGATGGCCAAATAGGAACAGCTCCAGCCTCCAGCTCCCAGCGTGAGCGACACAGAAAAGAGGTGATTTCTGCATTTTCAACTGAGGTACCGGATTCACCTCTCTAGGGTGTGTTGGACAGGACAGTCAGTGCTGGTCAGTGGGTGCAGCCCGACCAGCGGGAGCTGAAGCAGGGTGAGGCATCACCTCACCTGGGAAGCGCAAGGGGGAAGAGAATTCCTTTTCCTAGCCAAGGGAAACTGAGACACACAACACCTGGAAAATCAGGTAATTCCCACCCTAACACTGCGCTTTACCAAGGGTCTTAGGAAATAGCACACCAGAGATTATATCCCATGCCTGGCCCGGAGGGTCCCATGCCCACAGAGACTCCCTCATTGCTAGCACAGCAGTCTGAGATCTCACTGCAAGGGGACAGCGAGGCTGGGAGAGTTGTGCCTGCCATTGCTGAGGCTTAAGTAGGTAAACAAAGCCACCGGGAAGCACGAAGTGGGTGGAGCCCACCACAGCTCCAGGAGGCCTGCCTGCCTCTGTAGATTCCACCTCTGGGGACAGGGCATTGCT